AATAGCCACCTCCTCTTCTACCCTGTCCCTCTTCTATCTATTTTCAGGGTAATCTCTCTCTTTTTGTCTTTTGTTGTTGTTGTTTTGTTGCCTTTTGTTGTTCTTGATAAGGAAGGTAAATTTGTTGTTGTTCTTATTTATTAAGTAAACTTATAAATTAAATTTCTGGTTTTCTGTTACTGAAACGTTAAAAATGGTTAGGTTAATTTTCACCAAATTCCAGAGGTTTGTTTGGAGTGGTCTGACTTAAAATATGGGGCAAGCCTAAAATTTACTGAGGATGACCCTAGGGAGAACCTTGAAAAGAGAGACAGGTATCTCTAGGAGCAGCTGAAACGGAGGTGCAGCCAGAAGAGGAGGATGCCACCAGATGAGAAATACCCTGCTGGGTTAGACAGCATGAGCCCCTCAAATGGTTCACCATGGTTCCAAATGGGAGCCCATGTCAGAAGTCACAAGGATAGACCTTGCAAATTACAGGAATTTTCCCGTAGAGTTTCTTCTCACACAGACAACTCTGTGTGCCTGCTCCAGGGAATAATTGTCTAATGAAGGTGCAGGATTCTCATGACCAATGCTTGGGAAGCCAGCGAAGTTAAAATGAAAATAGAAATCTGGTTGTGATAAGACTGTTTTAAAACAACAGTTTAGGGGCCAGCCCTGTGGCTTAGCGGTTAAGTGTGCGCGCTCAGCTGCTGGCGGCCCGGGTTCGGATCCCAGGCGCACACCTACGTACCGCCTCTCCGGCCATGCTGAGGCCGCGTCCCACATACAGCAACTAGAAGGCTGTGCAACTATGACATACAACTATCTACTGGGGCTTTGGGGGAAAAAATAAATAAATAAAAATTTTTTAAAAATTAAATAAAACAACAGTTTAAGATCCAGATAAATCTAAAATACATAGTATGGATGGATGTTAAATGTTGAGCATTCCTCTGAAATTTTTGTTAACTTTTTCTAAAAAAAGTCATTACATACTAATGAACTTTTAGTACGTAAAAGCATTTTGCCTCTGTCTTGCCAGTGTGCATACAGGCCTTGCTAGAGCAGTCTCTCCTTGAAATGTCTGAGCAGCACTCTGAAAACAAGCAGTTACTGAAAACACTGGACTTACATTGATTTCATTTGATACATTGTTTGTAAGGAAGTCTCCGTTTCTAAAACAAAGTAGCTCTATTCCATGAAAAGTATTTCTTAAGCCAGAAAAGTAGAATGCAGTTCTTGTTTTGTAATTAACTATCAAAAAAAATTATTCATATAATAATGTTAATAAGTTAACCTAAATATATTATCTTACATATATTAATATTATTTATTATGTTTTTATATTATATATGATTCTAGTACATATTATTTATTATATTTATTTGTATTGTTATATAATCATAATATATTAACATATAAATAAGTGAACAAGAAAAAAGGTAGATTCCCACTGCCTTGAAGATAAAATCCAATATCCTAAGCATGACACAAATTTCTTCAAAGCCTGTCTTCAAATTACTTTACTCTCAATCCACACTTCTTTTATACCTCCAAGTTTGTTCCCTGTCCCTGGAATGCATTTCCACCACCTTCTTCACCTCTTCAACTCCTACCTACTCTTTTGAACCCAGTTCAGAAGGCACCTCCTGTGTGAAGCTTTTCCAATGGCTCCTCCCTCTGGGATTCCCATCATCTTATTGCTTCCTCCTTGGTTCTCCTATGGGATGTGTATCCATATGTCTATATTAGTATTATTATGATCATTAATGTGTCTGTCTCCTTGAGGGAAGGAGCTATCTCCTATTTTTTCCTTATTATTTTTTTAAATGGAAGTTCAAGAAATGTTCAATAAATGAAGGAATGAAGAAATGAAACAAATATATGAATTTGGGGAAAGTTACCCTGATCTCCTTGTAGAATATGAATCAAGGGAACAAACTTATCTTCCAGACTTGGATCGCAAGTGAGAGATTCCAGGGTCACTGATGCGGATAAGAAGACAAAAGGATGTTACAGTGAGTCATGTACCAGCTTGGAAACATAGACCAGGGTGGGAGAGGACATAGGTCATTGGTTGAAGCCAGCGAGAGTTATAAAACCAACTCCTCTCAGTTCCATTAACTTCCATACCTGTTTTTCCTGTCCACGCATTTGAAAGCTTACCCACCCCTTTCTACTCTGCTCTCTGTAGCAAGTGATTTCTAGGTTAAAGAAAAAAAAAAGCCAGTACGTTATTGTACATTCGAAATGAGGGAAATTGTGATATTGAGAAGTGATATTATGATATTGCCCTTCTTGAGTTGTGGTCATTTATCAAGGTCACAGTGTTGAGAAAATTGAGCATTATTTACTCTTGACTAGCTGATGGTAAGTAAAGAAATGGTTTTCCTGAGCATCTTTGAATAAATCTTAACATTCAAATGGTTATGAGTTGGCCTCTCTTTTGGAGTTTTTAAAAACTTTTATTTTGAAATAATTATAGGTTCACAGGAAGCTGCAAAAATAGTACAGGGATGTCTCATGTACCCTTACCCAGCTTCCACCAGTTGTAACATCTTACATAGCTAGAATGCACTATCAAAAGCAGAAAATTGACATTGGTACAATCTACAGGCCTTATTTAGATTTTACCAGTTTTACATGTACCTATTTGTGTGTGTGCGTATGTGTGTGTGTGTGTGTGTGTATGTAGTTCTGTGCAATTTTATCACCTGTGTAGATTCCTGTAACCACCACCACAAGCAGGAGACAGAACTAATCCACCTCTCAAAGATTCCTCATGCTAGTGCTTTATAGTCACATCCATTCTCCGGTTCTCCCACCCTCTCCCCTCCCCATCCTTTGGAAAGTTTTATATTTTTTCATATTTGATATTTCTCACCAACCCAAAAAAGAGGGAATGAGTTCGTTCTCCCGTTGATTCTTGTGCTGTTTTGAATGCTGGAAGTAGAAACGAGCACACAGCTAGGAAGTTAGGGGACCTTCTGTGTCTACCAGCAAGAAAATCATTAATAGTAACACAAAAAGGCTGCCCAACGGAAATGATTCTTATTCCTATAATTGGCTAGTTTCCAGGAAAATGTACATTGGCTCCGTCTAGATAAACACTTGGCATGGTACTAAAACTGATATGAGCTCAACAAATATTTATCAGGCAAGTACACTGATCCAACAGGGAGCAATGTGTCCCATAACAGGTTCCTAAGAGAATGTGAAACAATTCTCCATTTGTTCCAGAGAGCAGTTGTTTTCAAATTAGTAAAGCTTATTACAAAATGGAAAAATAAAAAACCTAGCAGGTCATATATTTGATTTTCCTATTTATGTATCCTTAACTTATTTCTCCAAGCAGGAGATGAAACACAAAAATAGACTAAAATTGGGGCTGGCCCCGTGGCTTAGTGGTTAAGTGCTCGAGCTCTGCTGCTGGCAGCCCGGGTTTGGATCCCGGGCGCGCACCGATGCACCGCTTGTCCGGCCATGCTGAGGCCGCGTCCCACATACAGCAACTAGAAGGATGTGCAGCTATGACATACAACTATCCACTGGGGCTTTGGGGGAAAAATAAATAAATAAATAAAATTATAAAAAAAAATAGACTAAAGTACTTTAGTCAGTCATTCACCTGAAACATCACTGCTGTAAGGTGATCTCCATTCCTAAAATCCCACAGAGATTCTCCCCTTGATCCGTCTTCTCAACGTTGTGCAGCCCACCTTCTGAGGGGAGGGAAAGGTGTAAACTGTGAGACCACTTAGGTGATAACAATAGTTACCAAGTGGTGAGTGCGCTTACCTTGATAGCAGGCACAGTGCTAAGAACTTTATTTATAATAGCTCACTTAATCCATGTATCAACCCTGGGAGATGTGTGGTTTTATTACCTTCATTTTACAATTGAGAAAACTAAGAATTAGAGAACTTAAATGTTTTGCTTAAGGCCACAAAACTAGTGAGTGGAAGACGTGGGATTTGAACCCAGGTCAGGGGACCACAGCTAGGGAGTCTTGGCTTTCATTAGGTTTGAGGTGTGACACAAAAATCTATAGGCAATACTTTTAAAAGCCCCTGAGGTGATTCTGATGTACTGATTCTTTGGCAATCATTGCTATAATCTATTTCCTGCAAGGAATCCCCTGTTACTCAAATGGGATGTAGACACAGAGAACTGATAACTTTATATGAGAGATGCTGTTGCTTCATAAACACATACTTCAGGTAGACAATGCTAAATGACTAGTGGCTTTTACCTGGAGTTTTGGGTGAAAATGTATTCTTAAATTGTTAGTGTCTTGATTAATTTATCTTTCAGCTTGTCAGACCACCACAAGACTGAGTAAGTGTTGCAAAAGCACTTCCACTAGAAAGGGAATTAAATTACCTTGTAGCTATGAGAGCACAAGTTTAGTTACTGCTAACACTGAGGTGGATGGATTTTGGCATAGTTCTCTATTGAAATCTTTTGCATTTACTTCTCCTTAAAAAAAAAAAAGGAAGAAGAAGAAGGAGAAGAACAGAGTAACAGAGAGATGTGATCTCTGGATAGGAAGAAATAAAAATATATATAATACCATAGAGTTTCCTTTAATCTGAAGCATATTTTGGCAAATGTAGGTATATGACTGGACTTAATGAAATGTTCTTAATAAAATGTAAAGACTGCCCTATGAGGAATGAGTGTGTGAATTAACATAAAAAGTAGTTTTGTATACACAGACCAACAGAACACTAACCTGATTTGTTTCATTCATAAGAACAAGAGGGGAAAATATCTCAAATCACACTTGATTTCAACACACCAAGCCAAACAACTAATAAACCGCCCACAAAGAATGAAACTATTTTGAACTCGTCATTCTTCAAATATATATTATAATGTTAAGATATGCATAAAATTGTGTAAGACAGAAACATACCTGACCTTTTATTGAAAAGAGGAGGAGTCAAATATCCTGAGAGGGATGGACCCGCCTGCAGTCCCTCAGGAACTTCCTGTTGTCACCACACCTCTGGGTTAGTTATCTGGGCTCTCTCGGAGCAAAGCCCTCAGTGGAGACTCGAAGGCTCTTTGAAGGAAATCGTTCTTCTTGTGAATGTAACACACACTCTCTCCAGTTTCCATATGCTGAGGTTATACTTCTTCATCAGTTTGATGTGCTTGGTGAGATCAGGTAAGTTATTTATTGAATGGTTGTCTTAATTATTTTAAAAACATTTTAGTATTACTGTCTTTTTGCATTTTATCATTCCAGTTCCTTGTTCAATGGACTTTTTAAGTTTCTTGTGGTCATTTTTAAAGAAAGAAGATATGGATTAAGTGAACTTTCTAGTTCTGAAAAAAAATTATTTTCTCTCAGTAATAAAAGAAACTATTATTCCTTTGAATTAATTTGTTCTTTTGATGTAAAAAAATTAAATATGCTGAAAAATCTCGAATACTATTATTTTCTTGTAATATCTGATATATAGAGGATAGGGTTTTATAGCTTTCATATGTTTATTTAAATTATTCTTATAGAAAAACATGATTTTGTATATGTAAACCCCTTAGCCTGATATATTAATAAACTAAAAATTATTAATCATAACAAAGAAATAAAGATTAAAACAGTAATGTACATAACAAGGTAACAAGAATAAAGTGAAATGCTTTTTTTAAAAAAAGTCAACACTTCCCAGCCTTTTTAGGAATCCAGTCCTTTTTCATATAGCTTGTGGTAATGAAGATTGGTACAGTTTTTTTGAAGGGAAATATATTATACATTAGGAGCCATAAAAATGTTCATGCCCTTTGAACTATTAAAACCATTGCTAGGAATTTATTCTAAAGAAATAAAAGAAAAAAAAAAGAACCTCATATACAAAGATGATTCTCTATATTGCTTATAATAACTTGAAACTAGATACAGCAGAAATGTTCCCACATACAGGAATAAAGTACAATATATAAACTTTTTTAAAAATGTAGCCTTTAAAATAGTTCTGAAGCAATGTGGAAACGTGCAAACGTTTAAAGTAATGCAAAATAGAAAAAGCAGAACTCAAATTTGTGGATAAACTAAAAATACAACTATGTTAAAATCATGTATGTACGCTTGTAAATAAAGTTTAGAATGGAAATGGAGAAATTAAAATAGTTGTATTAGGATTTTGGGCCAATGCATAAATTTTTCTTAATTTGTGCTTTTGAAGTTGATTTAATAGTAAGTTAAAATTATAGTAGTGTTGATATTTTTAACTGAAAAGCCAACAGATTAAAGTTTTTTTTAAATTTAAAAAATGAACATAAATTTAGAGATAGCTTAAAGGGAGCGGGAGCTAACCCTAATGAAAAAACCTGGTGATGATTTGGGGGTACTTTCTTCCAGTCTCCCATTATATATCTCTGTTTACAAAGTTGGAACTTAATTTTTTTGTGACCTGCCTTTTTACTTAACATTATCTTATCAGCAAAAGCTTGTTTTAAATGATTCTAGAAGATTTACTGCTGCATGATAGGATCTGAGCAGACAGAGACATATCACAATAAACTTCTGTAGCTAGAAGGACAAAACATAATTATAGCTGTAAGCTAAAATTAGACTTCTCAGTATCTGCAAAACCGTGAACTTGGAACTTTCATGGGAGAGGGTGTTGAATAATATGCATCTGATAACAGAAATTGTTAATCACAAATACATTAACTTTTTGTTTCTCCCTTCTTTGGCTTGCAGTCCAAAAATTAGCAAGTATTAAGACATGATTCAGAAATGCCAAGGATACAAGTCATTCACTTTCACAGATCTTTATTTTGTTGTTTTAACCTTTGTGAAATCATGATAGAAATGTTTGCCATAATCTTACCAGTGGACAAAGCAATGACTAGCAAATGCTCATGTGCACCGGAAATCACCTGGGGAATTTATTAAAAATGCAAAGACTCAATCGCCAGAGATCCACACTTAGTGAGTCTGGGGTGAGATCCTGGAATCTGCATTTTTAACAAACCCTCGAGGTTTTTCAGTTGTAGCAGGTCCAAGGAACGCATGCTGATAAATATTGTTCTAAATTAGGACTGTTGTCATAAACATTTTTTAAAGTTACTCTATTAATATTTTGGCCTGTGGCAGTTTGTGTAAAACTAGGTAGATATTTTCCTAGAGAAAATAGCTTGGTGCCAAAATAGAATTACGTCCTCGGAAATAATTGGCAATCCTCTCCAGGTGATTTATAACTCTGTGTATGTGTGTTTGACTCATCCTTCTCTGACAGAGGCAAAGGTGAGTGAGGGGGTGGGGTGTGAGGTGCATATTTATTATGCACATGATTAAGAGATGAGAGTGAAGAAATCTGGCATCTCATCTGTTTTCTCAGTTGTATCCTGAAGAAATACAGCCAGTGGTTAAAAGCGGAGATGTGGTTCCAACCAAGAGAGAATTTTGCCCATATGCTTCTTGCCTGTCTCTGCCTGGGGGTAAGGGAGAAATGAGCTATTCCACCAGGTTTGGTCCCGGCCAACTGCGAACACTTCATAATCTGGCTCAGGATGGGGTTTTAATGGCAAATTCAGTGTGCTTCTCTGCGTAAAAAAATATAAACTGAGTTACTTTTCAGATTTAAAAAATTTCATAGAGTTTCATGGGAAGGACATGTCACCTCCCCCTTCTATTTCTCTTAAAAATAGGAGTCCAACTCATTTTCTAATTTCTCCGAGGCAAAGTTTCTGGTCTAAAGAGATGTTTATATCTGGGACTTTCGGAAATCCCTTCAGAACAGTGTTTTCAGGCAAGCATAAGAGTGTCCTCGAGGGGCCGGCTTGGTGGCGCAAGCAGTTAAGTGCATGTGCTCCGCTGCGGTGGCCTGGGGTTTGCCGGGTGGGATCCTGCGTGCACCGGCGCACTGCCTGTCAAGCCATGCTGTGGCGGCATCCCATATAAGGTGGAGAAAGATGGGCATGGATGTTAGCCCAGGGCCGGTCTTCCTCAGCAAAAAAAAAAAAAAAAAAAGGGAAAGATTGGCAGATGTTAGCTCAGGGCCGATCTTCCTCACACACACACACACACACAAAAGAGTGTCCTCGAGTGTAGGTTACTGGAAACATTCTGGCTTCATCAGTTAACATGTGGCAAGGTGTCTTCCAGACACCGACTAGCATCCATTGCCCAGCAAGCAGAATACTCGAAAATGTATCTCTTAATCTTGGTCTGAATCTCAGTAAATACTTTCAGACAGCATTGAGTCAGTACACCTGACCCTGAAACTCTATTCTAAAGAAGTTATTAACATACATCTGCATCATGTTTGGGGGTGGGGGGAAGTGGTAACTCGAACCTAAACGCCTAGAACTTGAGCACCGGGGAAGCCAAAACTTGAAATAAAAAAAAGCATGAGTCAGGGCCATGCCTGTTTTACTTCCTGACTGGATATCGTGCGTTAAGGTTAAATTAGGTGGAATTTCACAGCCGTCACTTGAGTTCAAAGGTTATAAGCTTCACCAACCAGGGGTCTGAGAGAAACCGATACTTCCATTTTTTATTTCTTTACCTATCTATCTATCTATTTATTTATTTTTTGCTGAGGAAGATTCACCCTGAGCTAACATCTGTGCCCATCTTCCTCTATTTTGTGTGCAGTCGCTGCCACAGCATGGCCGCTGCCATGTGGTATAGGTCCATGCCCAGAACCCAATGGGGCTGCCAAACTGGAGCATATCGAACTTAACCATTAGGCCATGGGCTGGCCCCCTGATGCTTCCTTTTTAATCAGCTGACTCAGCCATATCAAGAGGTTTAATATGAAACTATCTTTGCTTATGACTCTCTCAGAATCTCAGAACTTTCTGTCCTCTTGTCCACACTCTCGATAGCTTCATCAGTGGGTTATTTCTGTCCACAGTTCCATCTTCTCTTTTCACTGACACCTCTTTGGATATGAACGGGGAGTCTCCTCTTTTTGAAGAAGTTTTCCCCCAATCAGAAATGGAATCAATTCTTCCAAAAGCAGGTAGAAGCTAAAAAAGGCAGGACTGAGTGTGACAGTGAGACAGTGTGAACAGCTTTATTTAGCTTCAGGGCAGTGTGTCTTTCGAAGACAGAGCAAAAGGATCCCTTGGAAGTTTCATCAGAAAGGGAGTGGGGTTGTCAGTGACCAGTTTTGTCTCAGGGGATCACACTTTTCTATCCAAACGGGACTCATATGAAATAAGTCAATCTAGGACAACAAATGTCTGTTTTCTCGGTTGTAAAGAAATATAGCCTGTGATTAAAAGAAGCGATGTTCTTCCAAACAAGAAAGCATTTTGTCTATCCAACACAATTTTCTCTGGCAAAGATAAAACAAAATAATAGCTATAGTCAGTCCCTAAGCCTGAGAATAAGAATAGTTTATTTTGTATAGGAACAGCTAGAAACCCTCCCCCCAACAGACTGCATTTTATTATTTATTATGCATATTATTATTTATTAATGCATTGTTATGTATTTCAATAATGCATAATAAAATGACCAAGGTGGGGGTTTTATTTAACCTTCGGTGGTAGAAAATGGAGGTCCATCCATTTCCAAGGGGAAAGAAAACAAAGTGGAAAACTGGGAACCTGTTTTGATTTTGACAGAAAAAGTGAAACTTCTGCCCATCACCTCCAAAAGGCTTTCATATTTTCACTCCGGTCTTTCCGTGAAAGTGTGAAATTATAGAAAACATTTTTTAAAATAGTTTTATTGAGATATAATTCACGTACCATACAATTTACCCAAAGTGTACAGTTCAATGGTTTTTAGTATATTCACAGATATGTGCAACTATCACCAATTTTAGAACATTTTCATCACCTCAAAAAGGAACTCAGGGGCCGGCCCGTGGCTTAGTGGTTAAGTGCGCGCACTCCGCTACTGGCGGCCCGGGTTCGGATCCCGGGCGCGCACCGACGCACCGCTTCTCCGGCCATGCTGAGGCCGCGTCCCACATACAGCAACTAGAAGGATGTACTGCTATGACATACAACTATCTACTGGGGCTTTGGGGGAAAAAAGGAGGAGGATTGGCAATAGATGTTAGCTCAGAGCCGGTCTTCCTCAGCAAAAGAGGAGGATTAGCATGGATGTTAGCTCAGGGCTGATCTTCCTCACAAAAAAAAAAAAAAAAGGAACTCAGTACCCTTTAGCTATTGCACCTCAATCTCCCCCTCTATCCC